TTTGCTCTACCCAAGTTAATGATTTCCACTACTGTATTGTGTTGATATTGGCAGTCATATTTTTGCTTTTTAAGTCAGAATCTTCCAATTTTGCCATTGTACTTAATATACTCTCCCATAAGGCATTTCAGACTAGGGCTTGAGTAGCTGTTCAACCGCAGATGTCAGCTTCCCCAATTTAGTGTTTACACACATATACTGTACATGTAACATGGTTAGGTATTTGCACAGGGTTTTTCTGCGAGATTAGTTTACTCCTCACGGAGCTTGGAAGGCGTGACCGAGTAATGTATTAGCCCCTTTCTAATAGGCACAAGTATTTATATAAATGGGTTAATTACATTAGACTTGCATTTTTATTTATTTATTTTTTTACGGGAATTGGCCCACCCGGGCACAGGTCAAACGACCCACTAGCTAGCATGTTCAGAGCATGTGATAAGGTGTGCCCACGAGAAGTCGCGTCACTTGGCGCTGAGCTTAGGATTAAGTAACTGGCTCTCTGGCCACCTATTGCGGGCAGTAGTTTGATATCACTCACTAGAGGAAGACGTTATTTAGAGTTATCATTGAGGTGACCCGTCTTCCTCGAGGGAGGACGACGGATATATTTCCGTTCTCCCTCGAGAAGTCTCTACTCATTCTCACTCAACTCTCACATCGACAGAACGTACTAAGCAGAGCTTTTTAACATAGCCTCCATCCTCATTTAACACTCATAGCTACAGTGGTTAACTTACGGTGATAATCCTTTTTGAAAGTGTACATAGAAACCTTTTAAAATAAATACAAACAAAAGGAACATATTGGATTTCACTCCAGAAGATCCATCAATCTTTGATCTATATTTTAGTATAGTCAGTTCTGCTACAACGTGATAGTTGTGTTCTTGTAAAACTTCGCATTGTAGAAATTCGCGCAATAGAAATAACAGGGCCTATGGAGAAAATAGGGTTAGGTCCAGATTACTCGAAATCGAAAACAATTTAGTAGTTAGCCTAACACAAAGGATAGCACAGTCTAAATAAATGTTACATTCATATCTAATAGTGAAATCATACAGTAAATGTAACACAGTTAATACCACAAAATTGGAGAAATAGTAAGCAAAAATCACTGAGGACGCTTCAAAACAACCCACGTGTTTCAATTGATCGTGTGATTTTAACAGAGAGCGTGGGTGTAAAACGCTATTAGTCCGCACTGTGAAACATTATTTTTATTTTTTTTTCAGACAGTATTTATGGGAACAGCTAAATTTGCAAAAAAAGGATGAAATTTATAGAGTCCCTATCAAATAACACTTCACAAACAAAACACATGAATCAATTGAACATGTGATGTCGAACGTGAACTGTAAACGCTGCATAACCCCGCGCCAAGCGACAGTACACTTAAAACATTCGAGTGGAATCGCGTTACAGCCAACACGCATTCGCGTTTTACAAATATCATTCTTCAATTCATCAATCGCGTTATAGCCAATTCACGTTGACAAAACACGTGTTGCAGCAGAAATGACTGTATGTCTAAAATATAAGGTAAGGTGCTTCACAAGTGATTGCTACAAGTGGTGACAACCCAGGAAGGATGTTACATATACAGGTAGTTCTGCTATAACGCGATAATTGTGTTCTTGTAAAATATCGTGTTATAGAAAATTGCGTAATAGAAATAACAGGGCTTATGGAGAAAATAGGGTTAGGTGCAGATTACTCGAAATCGAAAAAATTTAGTAGTTAGCCTAACACAAAGGATAGCACAGTCTAAATAAATGTTACATTCATATCTAATAATGAAATCATACAGTAAATTTAACACTTTACCTTGAAAAAATATGAATGTAACTTGATGGGGGAGAAGGGTGATTTTGAGGTTGATAACATCAAGCTTCTCTTCAAGTGTTATATCCTTTCTTTTACGATAATCACCGGGAATTCTATCATCAGAATGCTTTTTGGAGATATTCTTCTTTACCATATTCACAGTTAATACCACAAAATTGGAGAAATAGTAAGCAAAAATCGCGTTATAGCAAACAAGCGATCGCGTTATACAAATATTGTTCCGAATTCATAAATCGCGTTAGAGCAAATTCGCGTTATCAAAACACGCGTTATAGCAGAACTCACTGTACAACAGTTTCACATGTAGCTGTTATATTCACGGTAACAGTCACCTCAGCAGATACACAGTTGGTAAAGGTAGAGATATTATGTTCTCCCGATTACAGTGTTATCCTGTTACATTGTGTTACTAAAGAAGCATTCGTTACAGACTGAAGCAGTGAATGATTTCACTGGCTTCCTCTCAGTGGAGTCTCAGGTCACACATGGTGCAGGTGGCAAGAATGGTTTGAGGGGAGGGGTTTGGTGACATGCAACCAGAAGAAATCAGAGAAGAGCTGCTTGGAAACACTGGAGAAGAGTTAACTAATGAAGAACTGGCTTATTTACTTAAAGAAGATGAGCAAGATGATCAGGAATGAGATCTTGGTCCATTTGATTTACAGGAAAACATCTAGATACGTATGAGAGAAAATTAACAAAATTTTTACATTCTTCAAGAAAAGAATAGAAGCACTTCTGGAATTAGACCAATCTCTAGACCGAGCATCTGTTTATTAAGCAGATGTGTGGACTTAGCACTATCACCACTCAACGAAATCTACTAAGATCTAAATAGCACCTGTGATCTCAGCTCCCCATCACATTATCCTTCTCCAGAGTTCCCAAAACACCAGCTTCAACTCAATCTTCTGCCACTCCAGCTACTCCTGCGCCTGTCACTCCACACTCGCCTGCCACTTCATCATCATCAACTTCAAAGTCATCACCTTACCAATATCTTCCCAGGCGATAGTACCACCCTGTTTGATAGCGGCCTTTCATTGCTGCAAGAGTGAATGACTGACGAGTATGATACACAGTTTAATAATTTTTATGTGAATGGCTTGTAGGTGGTTTCTCCAGTTCAGTTTATCATCAACAACAACAACAATCCCAAGGAATTTAATATTTTGTTCATATTACCAAGGTACAGGGGGTCCATATCTGGGGGTAAGTCTTTCCTTCTGTGAAAGATCATATACTAGTGGGGGGTTTTTAGGTTTACGGTGAGTTTATTACACATTACCCAGTTCCCAACTTTAGTCAATTCACTGTTCATAGTCCTCATCAAGGAATGGAGATCTGAGCGACTGACATAGAAATTACTATCATCTACAAATAAGTTGGGCCGAGAATAGAGCCTTGAAGGACACCGTACAAAATAGGTGATGAGTCAGATTGATGGTTGTTATAGCAGACATACTGCCTCCTGTTTGACAGATCCAAGGTAAACCAATTGTGGGATAAGCCCCTAATGCAGTAATGTTTAAGTTTTGACAGGAGGATGGTATGGTCGACAGTATCAAAGGCTTTAGAAAGGTCCAGGAAATATTTCGACTGTGAACTGACTATCATCAAAGGAGTTCATGATGTCATTAGTAAAGGATACCACAGTACTCTCAGTTAACCTTTTTGCTCTAAATCCAAACTGAGAATCTGTAAGGATGTTATTGTTACTGCAGAAGGAATTTAGTTTATACTACTGCAGTACATGCCAGCATCTCTAACATCTTACTTAAGGCTGGGAGGACTGAAATGGGGCCGTAATTCTTTAGGGACCTTATCGCCAGATTTTTTATATGCTGGGTGAACCTTAGCAATTTTCAGTTTATCCAGAAAGACACCACTAGTGAAGGAGGAGTTACAAATGTGTAAGAGAACAGGTAGTAATAGGTGGGCTACTTTCTTTATGATGCTGCATCTTTGGACTTTTTATTGTGGTCAATAATCCATCTGCTGTGACAGGGAACAAGAACAACTCATTTTGTTGTCTGTTTTGCAGGTAGGCTTTAAATTCCTCATAGTGATCAGGGATGCTCTCTGCAAGTTTATTGAAGTGGTTGGTAATGAGGGGTGAGCCATATGTTGAGTGTTCCTGTTCTGAATGGAATTGATGATACTCCAGGTTTCTTACTGTTGCCTGATGTTGACTGAAACTTATTTATATAATAGCTATGTCTGGCATTTCTAACTGCTTTAGTTACTCTATTTCAGGTATTTCAGTAAGCATCACCAAAAGTTATGAGTCATTTTGCAAATTTTCTCTGGAGTTTGTGTTTTTGTTAATCATTGCCTTGATTTCACTTGTGATTTTGGGCTTGGAAACAGGTCACTTTTTACTTAGTCTTGAGGGGGAAGCATTTATCAAAGCAAGCACTGAAGATGCAAGAGAAGTTGCAGCAGATCACATTAGGATTGCCGGAGGCATTGAAAAAACCCCACTTAGCTTTCATTAAGTTGTTTTCGAACAAGAGCGTTAGTCTTTGTATTTTATTGTGACTCTTCCAGACGTTTCAGATCTTGTGGCTGTTTTATGCATGGCAAAAACTGGGAAGTGGTCTAAGATATTGTTATAAATAATTCCACTTGAAAGATTGTTAAGTTTAGTTGTTTTGCTCTGAATGGTTAAAGTGAACTTAAGGTAAACAATTAATACTTCAATGGTTTGTTGTTCAATGTTTTATTTTCTCTCTCAATGTACAGTACTTAGTGACTTATTTATGCAATTGTATTTAATTTTGTTGTAGGCTTGATGATGACAAGAGATTTGTCAATATGTTACCAAATAAATGTTGCTGTTTATCCATACATTGGTGCTGTTATTCATCCTTTGTATACACTTCCCCGAGGAGAGTCAATTTGAAGAGACTGAATTTTTTAGTACAGTAGTCGTGTATTTGAAAACTAAAACAAGGTGTTGCAGGAAGGGATACCATAATCTCATATATATATATATATATATATATATATATATATATATATATATATATATATATATATATATATATATATATATATATATATATATATATATATATATATATATAATAAAGGGTGCATGAATTTTCCAAATTACTAAAAAAAAAATTTATTGAAAGATTTTACACTGACCTTTCCAGACACTAGCTTCAACTGGAATTGAACACTGGTGAAGACAAGTTGCTCTCTTCCATGACAGCCTGCCTAGGCTCCCCATTGCCACACTGCTTTAGGCTACAGTACAGTACTTGCTTATGGTGTATCCTGTGACATATAATGTAACCTGTGGAGAAATTTACAATTAATTCTGAAATCACAGTAATAAGCCCAGCTTATTTCACCTGATGATTAAACACCCGAATGGTATCCTAACCAATTTTAACAAATCCTTATCCTAACCAATCCTAACCTAACCTATTTTAACCAATCCTATCCAATGTACTAACCTATCATAACCAATCTTAACCTATCCTACTTAATCCTAACCAATGCTAACCAAATCATCAGGTGAAATAAATGGCAGCTTCAATTTTTCAAGAGATTTGGTCTTAGTCAAGATTCAGATTAGGACAACCATGGAACTATATGTATTGATTTGTATAAAGGGAGATAAAACAAAAAAATAAGTAGAATACAGAAAGTCCTTGCTTAACGTCATGGCTACGTTCTTGAAAAACAAAGCGTTAACGGAATAAATTTTCCCACAAGAAATAGATAAAATACGCTAGTTACATTCCCCAACCTCCCTTTGCCCCATAAAATACATTACATATACAGTGATCCCTCGGTCAACGAGCGCCTCGGTTAACGAATTACCTTCCATAAGATTCTTCACTTCGGTTAACAAGCAAACCCTCGGTTAACGAATTCCTTACGAATTTTTCCCAACATGTTTTCGCCTGCATTTGGCTGCCCACCAGCTGTAGTATTAGTCCGCCAATACAGTAATCAGTTTTAGGGCTTAAATTCCTTACCATTTTAGTAAATATCAAGAAGGTTGTACTATTCAATAATTTTAAAAGTTTTATATTAAATTTTTCAGTCATTTTAACAATTATTGAACATAATTGAAGTACAGGAAGCTAGTTTTTTGCGCGCCAAACAGCCACTCAACACACCAAGCTTGGCGTCAGTTTGTTTACCAGTTCAGAGGAAGGAACATCTTGTTTGAGACTCTTCAACATAAACGCCTTTTTTCTGTGTTTCCAGTCAAATTATTGGTCATTTTTAAATATATTTTACATATTGACAATATATAATGCAGTGCAGTGTTGATTTAAAGAAAATAATCTTGAATTACACCAAATGAACTAAAATTTTATGGGTAAAATGGCGGCATGGGGTGACTTCTCTTCCACCCCAATGCCTTCTCTTCTCCCTTCTCCTCCACCCCCATTCTAATTCCCATCATCATCATCATCAACCAGGAGCCTTCTACATGCACACCTTGTATGTAATTTTCGGTGAGCTGGAACCAATTACCCAAAAACCCATTGAAACAATGGTTTCGGTTAACGAGCAACCTTCTGGAACGAATTGTGCTCGTTAAAAGAGGGACCACTGTACATCCAAAAAGATAAATAAACTAAATCATTTTGTATTGTACTTACTGATGGGCAGAGGTGGAGCGAGTGTGTGTGGGTAGTGGAGAGGAGGAGGGTGGAAAGTCACTGAGACCCGGAGGGGAGCTCTCCTTCCTGCTCTGACTGGGGTTACCCTTCCATTTTCGTAGCACTTGATGGGTGCTTGGAAGCCATTTAAAATGGTTACAGTACAGTATTTATAGCAAAAACACTTAAGCACGCACGTATACTATGGAAGCCTAACAAAGACTGGGGACGCTGTGAAGCTCCGCGAGAGAGCATAGTTCTCCAAGATGAGCGAGGGTGATGTGCCATACAAAGTAGTCCGTGTTGGGTGACAACATTATAAAGAATCAGTCGGGACATTGTTGGAATCATGGGTATCTAAAGAGTAGTGATGTTGTAACGAAACAACGTTGTATGGGACAATGTTAAACAAGGAAGTACTGTACTGTACTGTACTATATAATACAGTACAACATTTTTGTCAGAAATTTATAGTTTTCAAGTTTTTTCTTATTCCAGGTTTGGTTCTTTAGATTCTTTTGTTTCTGTTTTGCCTTGTTGGGTTAGGTTAGTTTTCTACACCAGGGGGTGGGGGCTAGGTCAGGTCCTTCTTTTTTCTCTGGTTAAATTACATTAGACATGTATATTATACTGATGTTTGAGAGTCATTTCGTTAGGTTCTTGATGATCTTTTTGTCTGGCAAAAATTTATTTATTTCACCATTTTTGGGATGTTCTTGATGAACTGAAGAGCTTTTCTTCAATTGAAAAGTTTCCTAATTCACCTCATTAACCAAGGCACCTGTTCTTAAATACTGTATTATACAGCACTTTTTAAAGTTTTCAATTGAACCCGCGGAGTAGCTCGTAAAACGAGAAACACGTAAATGGAATAACAGAACATATGGGATTAATTGAAATAGAGACTGGGCCGACTCCCAAACTCCACTTTTTCCGACACAATACCGACATAATACCTACCTTTAGTAAAAATAACATCTTAATTATATGATGGTATGCACACACAATTAATATTTAAGAGAAATACAGTTGCCAGGTTAATGTCCATTCAAGTAATGGACTCAACTCCCCACCCCCCCCACCCCTACCCCCCTCTTCCCACGCTCGCTGGCTCTTCCCTCAATGAGAAATGTTTGGGTGAAAACACTAGATTTTAAGGTATAGTAACAAACAATACCTCAGACTAAAGTTAGGATAATATAATTGACATTGCTGAATTCCTTGCAAGGCGAAGAATATTTTGAACATAAACGTCACATATTTTGCACAAAACATAAAATTTTGGATTTTTAATCAAAATTCTTAAATTAGATCTAAAATTTGTATGTCTAATGCAAATTCCATGATGTTTATATTTAAAATAATCTAAATCTTATAAGAATTCCAGCAATGTAAATTATATTCTGGCCAGGTAATTTGTATGAATTTTATGAGCTAAAACAAATTTCTTCAGTAAATAAACAAATTATTATTCACCCAGACACTATCTGTCAATCAAAATACCCCACCTCCGCTCCCCCCCCCTCTTCCCACGCTTGCCGAGTCCCTCCCTCCCTCCCCCCCACCTTCCCTCCATACCAGAGAAATGTTTAGGAGAAAACAGTATACGTATTTACTTTTTTAGTAATAAATAATACCTCAGACTAAAGTTAGGATAATATAATTGACATTTCTGGATTCCTTGCAGGTCAGGGAATATTTTGAATGTAAACGTCATATTTTGTCACAAAAGATAAAATATTTGCTTATTTTCATGATTTCCTTAAATTACATCTAAAATTTGTATGTCTAATGCAAATGTAAAGATATTTATATTTAATATGATCACCAACTTGTAAGGATTCCAGCAATGTAAATTATATATTTTATGAGCTAAAAACATATATATCTTCAGTAAATAAACAAATTATACTTCAACCGCGTAAATGAGTAAATTCACCGCGTAAATCGGACATCCCGGTTCTGGCAAGGTACCGCGTAAATGACCAAACGCGTAAACGAGAACCGCGTAAATCGAGGTTCAACTGTAGTTAGGTTTGTTTTCATAATTTTTACGGGGTGATTTTACCCCACAATTTCCCTCTAATTCAAAGCCCTAGCAACTTTGTATGAAAAAAAAAAAATGAAAAATATAAATTTCAGACTAGTGAAGCAGACGGTTAGCACCTGAAGGACTTTACATAAAATTTTCAGATTTTCCATAGGTGTTTTTTCGATGACACTGCCATATAAACGTTATGACAACTTTTTCCTTTACAGTGGTCCCTCGGTTAACGAACACAATTCGTTCCAGAAGGTAGCTCGTTAACCGAAAAACCATTGTTTCAATGGGATTTTGGGTAATTGGTTCCAGCTCACCGAAAATTACATACAAACTAAAAATAAATGCAGTAAAGTACATTTACTTTGAGGTGTGCGTGTAGAAGGCTCCTGGTTGATGATGATGGGAATTAGAAGTGGGGGTGGAGAAGGGAGAAGAGAAGGCAGTGGGGGTGGAAGAGAAGTCACCCCATGCTTCATGCCGCCATTTCACCCATAAAATTTTAAGTTCACTTGGTGTAATTCAAGATTATTTTCTTTAAATCAACACTGCACTGCACTATATATTGTCAAAATGTAAAATAAATTTCAGAATGACCAATAATTGTACTGTAAAAATGTAAAAATAGTTTATGTTCAAGAGAGTCTCAAGCAAGATGCTTCCTCCACTGAGCAGAGGCACAAACTGGCGCCATTCTGGGTGAGTCAAGTGGCTGTTTGGCGTGCTAAAAACTAGTTCCCTGTACTTCAATTATGTTAAATAATTGTTAAAATGACTAAAAAATTTAAAAAAGACTTGGAAAATTATTGAATAGTACAACCTTCTTGATATTTACTCAAATGGTAAAGAATTTAAGCCCTAAAACCGATTACTGTATTGGCGGACTAATACTACAGCTGGTGAGCAGGCAAAAGCATGTTGGGAAAAATTCGTAAGGAATTCGTTAACCGAATTTTATTCGTTAACCAAATTGAATATTCTTATGGAAGGTAATTTGTTAACTGAGGCGTTTGTTAACCGAGGGATCACTGTATTTTTTTTCTTCACAACCTATACATGTAAACATAAATCACCTGTAGTGGCTAGGGCATGAAAGATTAATGAAATTACAACAGTAAAGCATGCCAAAAAACTGATCAAATGACAACATTTACATGTCTCTTCATGCTTTGTAGACAAAGAAATAAATATTTTGCCATAAATATTACGCCAATATGTCTTCTGTGGCATTGCGTATTGTCGTCTCATTGCAAACTATAAATATGTGATTCCGGTTTTTATAAACATTATAAGTAACAATGGAAGCTCTCAACAGGGATTTTATTACCATAAATGGATCTTAAAGTTTGGACTGTTATTATTTTTTTTTTCACTAGTACAGTTTTTTATGCTGACTCTTAAGTATCCAACTAATTTTTTGCAGAAATAAATATTTAACATTTTATTGGCATATTTTTGCAGGAACAGTGTCTGTTTTTGCTGTTGAATGAAAATGAGTGAAATCCTACAATCATCGTTTTTGTTATGCAAAAACAACCGAACCTAACGAGATCGTAAAACGCTGACGTTATGCATAACGGCCAACATTCTACAGGGCACAACGATTATAAGTGACTGCTGCGCTGCATACGA